GTCAAGGCCTGAGGGGGGGGCGAGGCCTGGGCGGGAAACGCGGCCTGAGGGGGCCCGGCCTGAGGGGGGAAGGGACGGGAACAACCCCCAAAATCCCGGGATTTGGAGGGGTCATCGTCACCTCTTCCCTCCGAAATTCCCGGGATTTGGAGGGGTCATCGTCACCTCTTCCCTCCGAAAATCCCGGGGATTTTGGGGGTCGTGATCGTTCCCCCTCCATTCCCGGAATTTTGGAGGGTCGCGGTCGCTCCTTCCCGACTAAAAAAATCCCGGGATTTTTTGGGGTCATCGTCATCTTTTCCCTCCGAAATCCTGGAATTTTGGAGGGTCTCGGTCACCCCCCTCCCGTCCGAAATCCCGGGATTTTGAGGGGTCATGTTCAGGTCTTTCCACAAAAAGAAATCCCGGGATTTGTGGGGATCAGGATCATTCTCCCCCCTCACCCCGATCCTGAAATTCTGGGGGGTCACGGGCAGCCCTTCCCCATCCCAAATCCTGGGATTTCGAGAGGTCTCGGTCCTTCCTCCGTCCTCTCCTAACCGGAATTTGGGATGGGGAGTTTGGGATCAGGATGGGAAATTTGGGATGGGGAGTTTGGGGATTGAGATGTTTGGGATTGGGAATTTGGGATCGGGAGTTTGGGATCAGGATGGGAAATTTGGGATAGGGATGGGGAGTTTGGGATTGGGGAATTTGGGATGGAGAGTTTGGGATCAGGACAGGAAATTCAGGATGGGGAGTTTGGGATTGAGATGGGGAATTTGGGATGGGGAGTTTGGGATTGGGGAATTTGGGATGGGGAGTTTGGGATCAGGATAGGAAATTCAGGATGGGGAGTTTGGGACTGAGATGGGGAATTTGGGCTTGAGCCCTTGGGGTCGGGATGGGGACCTTGAGATCCTGAATATTTGGGAAAACCCCAAAACCCCACGGAATCCCTGCCCAGCCCCATCCCCATTTTCCCGTCCTGGGAAAATCGGGAATCCCGGAACCCTCCTGGCTCCTGCCGGGGCTGGAGCCGTTCCCTTTCCCGTTGGGAATGTCGGGATTTTGGGATTTGTCGGGATGGTGGGATCGGGGCCAGCCCCGGGCGGTGCCGCGGCTCCGGGGCCGGCAGATGGTCGGGAATTAATTCCCTCCAAATCCTGGGAATTTAATCCCACACGGATCCCTCGGCAGCTGCGCCGGGATGGGGGCGGGAGCGGCACGGGGGCATCGGGAGTTTGGGATCAGGAGTTTGGGATGGGGATGAGGAGTTTGGGATTGGGGATTTAGGATTGGGATGGGGAATTTGGGATCGGGGGTTTAGGATTGGGATGGGGAGAGTGGGATCAAGAGTTTGGGATTAGGATGGTGAGGTTGGGATGGGGAGTTTGGGATCAGGATGGGGAGTTTGGGATCAGGAGTTTGGGATCAGGAGTTTGGGATCAGGATGGTGAGGTTGGGATGGGGAGTTTGGGATCAGGGATTTAGGATTAGGATGGTGAGGTTGGGATCAGGAGTTTGGGATCAGGAGTTCGGGATCAGGATGGGGAGTTTGGGATCAGGAGTTTGGGATCAGGATGGTGAGGTTGGGATGGGGAGTCTGGGATCAGGAGTTTGGGATCAGGATGGGGAGTTTGGGATCAGGGATTTAGGATTGGGATGGGGAGAGTGGGATCAGGATTGGGAGTTTGGGATGAGGAGTTTGGGATCAGGATTGGGAGTTTGGGATGAGGAGTTTGAGAGCAGGATTGGAAGTTTGGGATCGGGAGTTTGGGATCAGGGATTTAGGATTGGGATGGGGGATCGGGATCAGGAATTTGGGATCAGGAGTTTGGGATCAGGGGTTTAGGACTGGGATGGGGGATCGGGATCAGGAATTTGGGATGGGGAGTTTGGGATTGGGATGAGGAGTTTGGGATCAGTGTAAGGAGTTTGGGATCAGGAGTTTGGGATCAGTGTGAGGAGTTTGGGATCAGGAATTTGGGATCTGTGTGAGGAATTTGGGATCCGTGTGAGCAGTTTGGGATCAGGAGTTTGGGATCTGTGTGAGGGATTTGGGATCCGTGTGAGCAGTTTGGGATCAGGAGTTTGGGATGGGGATGAGGAATTTGGGATCCGTGTGAGCAGTTTGGGATCAGGAATTTGGGATCCGTGTGAGCAGTTTGGGATCAGTTTGGAAACCAGGATTTGCCACAGGTGGATTTTTTGGGATAATCTCTCCCTGTTCGTGGCTCTCCCGCTTTTCCCACCTCCTTTTCCAAGGGAAACTGAGCCGGGAAGGATTTTCCAAACCCCGCTCCCGCTCCCACACGGCTCCTTTTGGATCTTCCAGTCCTGGGTGTGCTTATTCCCAAAAAAAAACCCTTGGATTGGGATGACAGGAGGAAGGAATTGGGCTGGGGAAATCCTGGATCCATCCCAAACATTCCCAAGGATTTGGATGTGAATGGGAAAGGACAAAGAGCCCAATTCCCTCCCCCGACAAAACAATTCCCGGCTTTTCCAAAGGATTCATTCCCTACCTGGGGAGGCTTTTCATGGGATAAAAGGGCAGGGAAAAAAAAAAGGGATTTGGGAAGGAAAAGGCCTCTCCTGGGGCACATTCCAGAGGAAAAGTCAGTGGAATTCCTCCAGAGGCCTCAAATCCAGCGGGAATTCAGGGCTGGAATTTGGGGTTGGATCCATGGCTCTTTCCCAGTTTTTCCAGGCTGGAAAAAATGTGGGAATAAAATCCTTCCTCATGAAAGGAGATTTTTCCCTAAAAAAAAAACCAAAACTCAAAATTCCGTGGAGCTTCCAGACCTGCTGGAATTCCAGAATTCCAGGGGTTAACTGGGAATTGTCCCTGGGATGGGGCCGGATCCCGAGGCTTTCCCGGGAATTCAGGGGATGGATTGGCAGCGGGGCTGGGAAGGGAATTTTTGGGGTGGGAATGGGGATTTTTGGGATAAAAAGGGGAATTTTTGGGGTGGGAACGGGGATTTTTGGGATAAAAGGGGAATTTTTGGGGTGGGAATGAGGATTTTTGGGATAAAAGGGGAATTTTTGGGGTGAGAATGGGGATTTTTGGGATAAAAGGGGAATATTTGGGGTGAGAATGGGGATTTTTGGGATAAAAGGGGGGGATTTGGAGTGGGAATGAGGATTTTTGGGATAAAAGGGGAATATTTGGGGTGGGTATGAGGATTTTTGGGATAAAAGGAGAATATTTGGGGTGGGAATGAGGATTTTTGGGATAAAAGGGGAATTTTTGGGGTGGGAATGGGGATTTTTGGGATAAAAGGGGAATATTTGGGGTGGGAATGGGGATTTTTGGGATGAAAGCGGGGATTTGGGATTGAATGGGAAATGAATGGGATCAAAATGGAACGGGAATTGAAATAAATGGGAATGGGAATGGGAATGGGAATGGGATAAAAACAGGAACAGAATGGAAGAGAAATAGAAATAAAACGGAACAGGAAAGGAACGGGAATTAGAATGAAATGGAAAATTAATGGGAATTCTGGGAGATAAACCAGGAACGGGAAAAGGCTGCGGAACATTGGGATTCCCGGGATTTCTGGGGATGGAAACCCAGGAATTCCCACTGGGAAAACCCAAATTCCCAACGCCCTCATCCCCTTTCTCCCCCACCTTTTTTTCCAGCTCCTTCCCAGCCATGGGGGACATGAAAACCCCGGATTTCGACGACCTCTTGGCCGCCTTCGACATCCCCGACATCGACGCCAACGAGGCCATCCACTCCCACCACGAGGATCCCGAATCCCACGGCAAACAAATCCCGGGAGAGCCGGGATCCGCCGGCCCTGCCGAGCACGTCCTGCCCCACCCGGACATCTCGGCCGTCAGCGTCATCGTCAAGAACACCGTGTGTCCGGAGCAGCTGGAGAACTTGGATTCCCGAGGGAAGGAGGGGCACGGCATGGCCCCCAGGCTCCTCCAGAACGGATTCGGAGCTTCCGACGTTCCCAGATCGCCCAATTCCCGCTCCGGGGAGGCGCCTTCCAACGGGGAGTGCTGGGGCAAGGAGAAGAACTCCAAGGCTTTGGATTTGTTCTCGCATTTCAGCCCCGATCCCAGCGAGGACGGCGCCAATTTGATCGACAGATCCCGGGAGTGCAAAGGCAAGGAGAAATCCCTGGCCGTGCCCTCGCTGGCTCCGTCCCCCACCCCGGATTCCAAGAGATCCCTGGGAGAATCCTCCGAGGGTCTGGATCCGCCTTTCCCGGCGCCGTTCCGGGCCGGCGACGGATCCCACCCCGTTGCCCGCATCAAAAAGGAGGAATCGGACTCGGAGGAGGCTCCGGCCCGGAGCTCCAGCCCCAAGGGCTCGGTGTTGGATCACCTGAAATCCGTCAGCGTCCGCTATTCCGCCGCCGAGGATTCTCCCGCCGCGCCCTGGCCGGGATCGGACGCGGCAGCGCCGGACGGC